TTACAAAAAGTAACAAAAACCGATTAACTAGTTACAATACAGACCCCATCTAATTTCAGAAACACTTTAGAAACTACTTTCCCCCACCCCTAACTTTATAATCAGTATTGAAAGATTTTTTATTGATTGCACAGGCCTAATAGGTTTCCGTTCTTCAGTTCGGAGTAGAGCAACTGCTTTGGGAGACGGTGGTCAGGTATCCGGACAATGTGGCCAGTCCAGTGGAGTTGATGGTGGAGGACCATCGCTTCAATGCAGGTGGTCTTTGCTTCTTCCAGCACACTGACGTTTGTCTGCCTGTCTTCCCAAGAGATTTGCAGGATTTTCCAGAGGCAGTGCTGATGGAATCGTTCCAGGAGTTGCATGTGACGTCTGTAGACAGTCCATGTTTTACAGGCATATAGCAGGGCTGGGAGGACAATAGCTTTCTAAACAAGCACCTTGGTATCCCTACAGATGTCCCGGTCCTCAAACACTCTCTGCTTCATTCGGAAAAATGCTGCACTTGCAGAGCTCAGGCGGTGTTGTATTTCGGTGTCGATGTTGACTTTGATGGGGAGGTGGCTGCCAAGGTAGCTTAAATGATCAACATTTTCTAATGTTACACCATTAAGCTGCATCTCTGGCATTGGAAAGGGGTTGGCTGGTGACTGCTGGAACAGCATTTTGGTTTTTTCGATGTTCAATGACAGGTCGAGCTTCTTGAATGCTTCTGCAAAGGTGTTTAGAGTGGCTTGTAGAGCTTCTTCTGAATGCGCACAGATGACGTTGTCATCAGCATACTGGAGTTCTGTAACAGATGTTGTAACCTTGGTTTTGGCTTTCAGTCTGCTGAGGTTAAACAGCTTGCCATCTGTCCGATAGATGATTTCCACTCTGCTGGGAAGCTTCCCATCAACAAGATGAAGTATTATAGCGATGAAGATGGAGAATAAAGTTGGGGCAATAACACATCCCTGTTTGACACCTGATTCCACCTTAAATGGGTCACTTTGGGAGCCATTGTTGTCCAAAACCATTGCCATCATGTCATCATGGAGGAGCTGCAGGATGTTCATGAATTTGTTTGGCCACCTGATTTTTTGGAGGATGGTCCAGAGGGTACACTAACTCTTTAGGGTTAATGCATTTGACACCACTTTAAATGCACAATGCTCTGGAGCCATAGGAATTGTAGTTTTGCAAGGTTTTTAGCCTTTTCTGCTGAATAGTTCTGGTATCACACCGAACTATAGATCATGGCATTTAAAGTGATGTCAACTGCATTAATACATCATGAGTATCAGAGGAAACCAGAACACTATTAGAAAATCTCTAAAAGTAAGACCAATAAGGTAGGAAGATGCTCCTCCAGGAAGGGAGTTGAATTTGGAAATAGTCTTCCAGAGAAAATGCCAAGCCTTCTTGCTTTCACACACAAAAGGGAAAAAGAAGAAGAAAAGAAACATATCTATCATTCTGTTTTATTTCACAGCAAAAAAGGAAGTAATACATGTAGTCTGTGCATGGAGAATTACCAAATGTGTCCACTCTGTAGCAATAAGTATTGGTTATTGTTATGATAGAGCAAAGCTTCTATCTCATATTTTCCGAAGGCTCTATAAATGGTCTAGATGGCTCTGTAGATCTAACAAGGGGAAACAGTGAAAGCGCCTCTTGCCAATGACACTTTTTATCCTAGCAAATGCCCACCCTAGATTTGTTCCTTGATAGTGACAGGATGCTGGAAAAGTGAAAGGAAGTGTTAGAGTAAACAAAATGTCTGCCATTATAAAACCAGAAGAGTGCATGTTTGGGGATAGAATTCTTCACTACTTTTCTTCTCAAAGCAATCAATAATTTAAACAATTTTATTCCCATGGTGAGAAAATATTTGCAACGTGTATATATTGAACTGTATTCATAGTTCAGGACTCGTTGTGTGCAAAATTTGGATTTTTGGAACATATTTCCATCTTTATTCAGATTCAAACTCCACAAAACCATTAACTGTGACATTTATTGATCCTTCAGGTAAAGCCTTTTCTTCAGGATTATTTAGCTTCCTGGTCAATAAATTCTGATTGTTGGATTCCATTAAATCAGTGACTCTCCATTAAATGATCTAATAGACAAAGACTTGGCAGGGTCTAAGCTAATACTACAGAATTTGCTACAGATTTCTTGAATGGTTACTCGTTTAATTTTCCTTATGTTAAGAGAAAGGCATCTTCTGTATATTGGAAAGCAATTTTTAAAAGCCAGATGGTTGCTTAATACAAAATTTCTGATTCAAGCAATGAAACTCTGGAATAGCCTAGAATATTTTTAGGCTGTTTTTCAGCTCAATTGGCCATTTGCCAAACCATTAGGCCATATGTCATCAGGTACGGCAGTGATGTTGTTTATTTGTCCTTTCCTTTTCTCTCTCTCATATTGTGTCATATTGTACAAATGGCTTTACTTAAAGTTTTGGCTGTTTCTAACTCTATTACGAGTCTTCATACCAAAATATAGAGAAGCATTCAATCTGAGATGAGTTTTGCAAACTTCTTATCTTTTTTATTTTCAAATTCACAGTTGGCAGAAAATCTTATAGTAGATATCTGTATTTGCTACTTTCCTCAAATTCCAAAGCTTCGCTTAGGCGATCCCTCATTGTCCGAGTAGAATAGTCTTCCAAGATCAGTGTACTACCGGTGGTTCCAAAGACATCACTAATGGTAAAGCAAAATATTATAATTTTATTCAGGAATTATCTTTCTATTCCTTCCTCAAAAATTCAGAGGAAATGAGTGTTCCAGCAACCTTTCAAGGCATTTTATTGTTATATTTCCTGATTGTCTTTGAGCACACTGAATATTTCTTTTTTTGTTCACAGAAGATGGTCAGTCTTTAAGCCTCAGACATTTCCCCCCTTTTTATGACATTCCAAAATGAAAAGAGTACATATTCAAGTACCACCACTGCCATTTCACTACCGAGGCAGTCAAAATGATCAGAAGCAGTCCCATGGCAGAGGAAAGGGGTTTAGTTGTGGTTTTTAAAGGTTCCCCCATGGTCTAAATTCTTCCCTCTCACAACTGCACAGAGAAGGGAATGTTTCTTTCTTTCTTTTTTTTTTGTAAAGAGTTAAAGTTCTATACTCACACTGATATGTGGATAACTTGTCCCTGGTCTCTTGAGTTGATTTTTGAATTTTTGGATTTATAGATGTACACATCATTAAATAACTGCAGAATAACACTGAGACATATGGGTTACATCTAAAGTTCCTTTAGTCATCATCTATTTTAATTAATCTTCATAAAAAAAAAATATCCACTCTATTTAGTCAATGTTTTTTTTTTACCTTTGAAAGTGAGAGAACCAGCTTGCTTTCACTGTTTCTGGTTGATCTCAACACTTTCAATTAATCTTTTTATGTTCATTAGTATTTTTTTATTCTCAAAAAAGGCAGTATGATTCTAATGAACTAGATTTAAGTCCAGATTTTCACATTCCACTTTCACAAATATATTGGTTGACAGGAATGAGACAATTGAGAATTGTTACCTGGATTCAGACTTATTGATTTAGCATTCTCATCCCAGGTTGCGGTACTTCTTTCCTGGCAAACTGTCATTTATTATAATTGTAAAAATTTGGTGACAATATATGAAAAAAAAATACTGGCAAAGCCATCTAGTCCTTGTGATGTTTTTTCTTTTAAAATACTGTACTGTTTCTTCAATATCCTGTTATGTTATTGGTTCCTCTGATTTTCTCAGCTGAAACTTTTGATAAATATGTCTGCTGAGGCACTCTGAGAGGGGTGACCTAGATGCTGTTTATACTCATGCAGAAGTAAATCTCATCTATAAGTCAAGGGCAGGTTGTGAGGATAAAATTATAGATTATGATATGACCCATGGATAAGTCAAGAGTTATTCCATGGAGAGAGGAAAGCACCAATTCCTCCTCATGGACCAGCTGTCCCTTGCTGCTTACTGTCATTTTCCACCCTGACATTAAAGAAGGCCATTGTAGTAACACTACAATGGATAGAGTAGATGGAGTTGGTGCTTGGTTTAGATTCTTCCAAGATAGACTAAGCTTGTATCTTTCACTATTCTAGTCAAAGAAGAGCCTCCCCTCCCCCCACCCAGTACTCATATGTTTTTGGAATGATTTTTGACTTTAATTTCTAGACTTAAACATGAGTATATAGGCTAATCATCTGTCCAAAACCACCTTCTCTCCAGATGCCTAGCATTTGGATATAGGTGACATCAATTATTCCATTGTCCTTTCTTATGTGCCCCTGCACTTATTTGTTTTTCAATTTTGCAAATATTTTCATAACTAAACAGGTAGAGCCAACAAAAATTTTACCCAAATGGCATTGCACTAAAGCCACCTGAATGTGTGTTTTTCTAAAAATATTATGTGTGAATCAAGAATGTGGATGGTATTCAGAAACTAATGAATAAGAATGAAACCATGCGATGGTATTGATGGAATGCAAACTTGTGTAGCTTTCTTGACATCAGATATATTTTAGATCACATATATAGATCAACCTATTTTCATTAATAATTCACTTGAACTACTACTGAAGGAATTATCACATGTGATGTCATGTTTCTATAGGTTGGATTGATAATGTATTAATATATTATATGCATTTGTAATGGGAATAATTTTCATTTCAGTATATCCCCCCAGCAAGCTGACAATCTATCAAATGCTGCTCCATTTGCCTTTGAACACATTGTGATGTGTTTGATGTTTCTTTGTAATGCCTTATATAAGTTCCTCCCTCCCCAGCAACAGATGTGGCACAGTAGAGAATGCAAATTTGTTGAATGTGAGTCAAAAATTCAACTGAATATGGCTTGCTGGGGATGTTAATTAGTTTTGTGCCTCATTCTGTTGACAAGAGCAACTATGTAGGTGGCCTCCCCTTTTATAACCTTTATAAAGAAGTGAAGAGTAATGTTTCTTTTCTTTCTTCTTTCCCATTTTTTGTAACATCACAGGAGTCATCAGGACAGCCTTGCATAACATGGACCGGGAAGCCAGGGAACATTACTCGGTTGTCATTCAAGCCAAAGATATGGCTGGACAGGTTGGAGGGCTGTCAGGATCAACCACTGTAAACATAACACTCACCGATGTCAACGACAACCCTCCCAGGTTCCCTCAGAGTATGTAAAGGTTTGATCTGATTTATTTCTTTTCCCAGCCAAAAGTTAGTGTACTGAAAATGTATTACAGTGTCAGGAAGATATTGGTAAATCTAAGATTTAATATGAATACTCAAAGGATGTTTTGAGAAAGCTATAATTTATGGCTAGAGAGCATTTTCCCTTCTCAACAAAACAATAGAAATGCTATGTCAAATCTATCAAGAGCAGATGTGATGATTGCTTGACCTTCTAAATACTATATCTGCCATTGTTTTAAGGCAGTCAATTGATGATGACATCTCTGTACAGTGGCTATGTGTTTTTTTTTCCACTAAGAGGTTCACTTTCTTGTTCCAATCAACTTTTTCATCTTTGAAAATGGATGCTTGGTTGCTCATAACAAATCAAATCTGGGAAATCAATGGTTCTTATATGTAAGGACCAGTACAAGTTTGGTGGAAAAAACAGACCATGAGAAAGGTAGAAAATACGAAGGGAGGGAGGAATAGTGTAACTAGGGTGTCAAGATCCTCATTGCAAGGTTGGGATGAAATTTATTTTGTTTGCATGTAAAGACATATTAATTTAGCATTTACTGAGTTAATAAGATAACTGTAACAAAGTTACCCTCCAGTTTTAAGGGTTTCTAAAATGTGTTCTGCATTTCTCTCCTAAGAATACCAAAAAGGAAACTGCATACCAAACTCCATCTATTAAGATAAAAATATGCAAAAATGTTATGAAAATGCATGCAAAATTGTAACATTATACCTTTCTACCAACAAGGCATTCATTTTTGTATTCATTTATTCCAATGTAAACACTGGGAGAAATGAGTTCAGAATGCAAACATTGAGAGATTGTGTATCAAAATATTGATTTTTGTATGCCATCTTCACAAACACATGCCAGAATGAAATAGAGCCAACTTATGGCTTAAAAGGTTTAGATAGGAATAGATTCAACCATCTTTAATGTCATTTTGCTTCTGAAAATCGATGGCATTTTTATGAAACAAAGATATATTAACTTGGGTTTCCAGACCCTTGTTTGCCAGAAAAAGCTTACATCAATTTTGAATGGACACAAATGTGAAGCTTTCATGTATATTGATTTAAGAATAAGCAAGCACTTTAAATTGGCAAGTTTAAGTGAGTGTATATATATATTGGGGGGGGGGGGGTTAACTCTCTAGTGCATTTGACATGATCAGAGCTATAAAAACAGAAAAAGTATAAAAATTTACTGCCTAAAACAGAATTATATAATTTCCCATCATGCACTAATTTACTAATCAACTGATAGCTAAAATTTAGTTGCATACAGCACTTTCATATGCAGGGTAGCATAATTTATTAGGTCTGATATATTTCACCAAGACTTATAAAACCAATGTGGATTGTTATTCATATTGATCTGGATTGATTGGTCAGATCTCCATACACTACTGCTGTCACTGAACACATAAAACAGACTTTTTTTACAGCCAGTTCTCCACATTAATGAGTTTGACTGTTATGGATTTGATTATTTGCAAATTTAATAAAAATGTTCTCTCTAGGAATTTCTAGGAATGTCTCTAGGACAGACCCCCCCCCCCATTTCGTTGTTTTGCCAGTGAAATGGAAGGTGCGCATGGAGACTTGTGGTGACTTGCACACCCTCCCTCCTTCCCACATCACTCGGGGTATTGGGACAAGGCACATTGGTGCCCTGTTTCTGATGGAGGAAAAGGGTAAAAAATGCAGGAAGATTGGAATTACCCAAAAGACACCTTGCCTCCTGTTGTTGGCAAGGAAGTGCCTTGTGGTGCTTCCTCACTACTTCAGCAATCAATGGGGCAAGGTCACAGCCAGTGTCCTGCCCCATTGATGGACATATTCAGGACACATTCAGGGATGGGGCCTGCCGAGTGATGGCACTCGGTAGGCCCCATCCCTGAAGAGGAGGAAAGACCTCCAGTCTGATGAGATGGTATATTCTCCAGTGTAACTTTACATTCAACTTCTATCATGCTGGAGGACCAGTAATATCTGAAGATACTCAGTTTTTTTTAAAAAAAATCATGTTTTTAACATTTGTGGGAATCACATGTCCTTAACTCCAGGAAATGTGGTGGGTTGCATGTGCATATTACTGTTATCACCACCACAACTATTCATAACAATAATAAGTAAAGCAGGTCAGATGGCCTGAATTGACCTGAGATCATTTCCGGATATTCAGAAACTCCCAATACCTAATCCAGATTAAAACCTGTTAAGCCAATTCTATCCTACATTAGCAGAAGTTGGGAAATTCTTTGGAGCTTCCCTGAGACTCTGGTGCAGTCCCATACTTTGGGCTTGGTGCAAACATAACCTAAAGAAAGCAGGAGGTGGATCCCCTCTTTTCCCTTGGAGCCTTTGTTGATGTCAACCAAGGTAACATCAACAAAGCCTCCCAGTGACAGTCAGGAGTTCTCCAGAGCAAAAACAGGACAGAAAAGGTAAGTATATCATCCAATGGGACCAAAACTGGTTCAACTTAACTGGACAGTTAGAACTCGGTTGAGGAGTGGAGCATATGAATAGAATCTGATGGTGATCTGAGAGAGCAGAGCTTTGAATAAGCTCTGGGTTTAGATGTCCATGAAGATGGACCCCAAGAAAGTAAAAGGCTTGCTTTCTGCATGACAATATTAGACCTGGATCTCACATAAACCCAGTTCTTTCCTCTGTAGCATCTGAATGAGTTTATTTGCATGAAAATGTATTTAGAAATAAAACCCAGTTAGTAGTTACTCCCTCTCTTTCTTCTTTGTGTGAAGATGTATTTTTTTCATACATATAAAATTCTGGTTCAAATAAATCTGGACAGTAATTGGTTTACAAATAAGATATGTAACTTTTTTTGTTATGTATAATGTTTAGAATAATTTTCAGGGAAGAAATATGTGGATTTTCAAGAGGGCTGTTGTGCGTGAATTTATTAGCAGGATTAGCTGATGCACTTTGTAAATTGTTCCAAACTTGATCTGCTACTGCTCCCAGACAATAAATTGTCATCAATGTACCTCAGCTATACAAATGGTTTATATTTGAATTCCATAAGGATGGTTTGCCCTGGTTCACATGTGTGTGTGTGTGCTGCAGGTGACTCTAAACACTCACAATTCTCAAATATGTTGGTATAAATGATGTGACATTAAGTGTTAGGAGTATGCAGTTATTCTTGAATGCACACTCTTATGTAATAAGGGATTCCTTTTACATGCCATTAAACTCATTCTGCAGCTAGGTTATTGGAGCATTGCTGAGAGGATAAGATGGTGACGCATTTGAAAACTAGATTTGGCATTAGTTATGCTCACTTAACATATAAAACTACGTGCTTGAACAGATATTGTGCTGTATATGACTGGATAATCTTACTAAAGCTGTTAGGAAAGATAAAATAAGATAAAATAAGTTGGTGCTAAAGTTGTTCTTAAAATGCTTAACCTTTTCTGTAATATTGTTGCCCCCCCCCCCTCCTATTGGTGGGGAAAATATTCTTGAATTTAACATAGAACTTAACAATTTACCCTATTGTAATGAACAATTAATGTTGAAAATTATCATAAAGTCACTCCGGAGGACCTAAGCAATTCATCTCTAGGAATTTACTATGTCCTGTTGCTTCCAATAGAAGTATATCATCAAATTTCCAATTCCTAGAGAAGTCATATTTTCTTGGAGGCAAGTGAAACTGAGGAAAACAGTCTCACCAATATGATGATTGCATTGCATATATTCATATTCAAAATTGTCAAATTCTGTATCTCCCACCTTTAAAATTTATTTACTGCCTTTATCAAAACCCAAAATGGCACACCCAGAGATAAGACATAGTGCAAACCACAAGACACCTGAAACATACACAAAAATCTAAATAGAGAACAATTGTTAAATTACTTCTTTCTCTTATAGTTTTTACTCTTATTTTCAATAGTTCATACTTGCCATGTTGGTATTTCTAGAGCAGCTCATTATTGGGACAGCCATGTCCTATGTACCTCTTATAAAGTTGTACAGTCATCTCTCCACATTTGCAGGTTTGGCTTTTGCAGGTTTGATTATTGATGGATTCAGTCGAATTTTTTTTCTAGGCATCTCTAGGTCTGCCAGTGAGATTCTATTATTAACTTCCTCTTGTCATCCTGGAGGAACTCGAGATTTCTGGAGAATACACTTCTGTTGGGTCTTCCAGTGTGATTCTATGGTCAGCTTCCAGAAGAAGCCAGCCATGCTGGAGTCATGCTGGAATTCCTAAAATTGTTATCTGAGGTAAAAAAAAAATCTTTATTTACAGTTCCTCGCTTTCATGAGAACCTTGTCAACTGAACACTAGTGAATGTGGAGGGCTGACTATCTCTTTCCTGAAAACTAAAATGACAACAATATTTTTCTTATATTGTGGCAAATTCTTTCAAAAGATTTCATACACATTCTCGGGAGCAAAACCTATGTTCAGAAAGCCTCATTTACAGGTTTTTGTCAAGGAAGTGTAATTCTCAAGTATTTTCCTTCTTTTAATAAGCATAGCCTTAAGTGATAGCTATTCGGTTAAATGCTTTGCTAAATTGAACCTTGAAAGAATAAGTGGTGTAGTTTTTATGAAGATCTGCTGTATTCTTTATGCATAGCAATGAACTCTATTTCCTACTTTAAGTGCACAGCTAACCACAAACTTAACTGTGGAGTCATAACTGGAGCCTCCATAATTATTTTTTATGTGAGCAGTTGCTGAATGAATATTACATGATCGCAAATGAGAAGACAGGCGGTCTGTGAAATTGAGAATGGGAGGAACACTGTTAAGGAGACAAATTGTCTTAGGATGCAGTCTAAGCTGTTCTGTGCACTGAAATTCAGCAGTGCTTGTGGAGTGGCAGCTGCTGACTAGTATGTGACTGAGGTAGTGCTAGGTATCTATCCAAACTTGAAATGAGTTATCCAAGGTGACAAATCCAAGGTGAGGATACTGTCCTTTCTTGCATTGCTTAAGTAAAGCCATCCAGCCATGGGGCTATGAGGAAAGAATAGAAAACTAGTAGTCTGTAAGATATTGCTAGATAGACAACGAGATGGGAAAAGAGAGAAAGGGATGGATCAAATCTTTAGAGGGGCAGGTAAACTTAGGCCAGTTGGGCACAGGGGAAAGCTGTGCCCAAACAATCACCATGGAGATTGTTTGTTTGATGGGAGTGTGGAAAAGGGTCAACACCAGGGCTGTAGGCAAGGGGGGGGGTTGCGGTATTTCTCCCCCCCCTCCCATTTTTTTCAGGGGGGGGGGAAGAAGGGATACAAAGTCCCTCATGAGACCAGACTTGGTGGGGGTGCTTGACAGGGGCAGAGCTGCAGGTTATTTAAGGCTGCTCTGCCTCCCTGCAGTGTTCCTTGCTTCATCGTGAGGTAGAAGGTAGATTCCTAATGGGAAATTAGGCCTTTCCCTCCTTGCTCCCTCTCCTCCCCTTTTCCAGATAGTAGGGTTCCCATTGCTATGTGTTTGCCCCAGGAAGACACCCTACAATTTGCACAGTTTCTGCCCTTGGCATTTATTGGCAGGGATTTCCCAGCAGAGAATAAGGGCTTGGCTAGAGGTTTGGGTGACTGCACTAAGCAGGGTTCCCCTCCTGGACTGCCTCAAGGAAGGCACATCCTGTAGCAGAGAAGGTTCGCCCTCCCTCCCCACTTTAGAATAAACTCTTAATAAATGATTTGCCTGGGTGAGTCACAGTTACTCAACTTCAAGTCATGATTGCTAGGCCACAGAGGAAGGCTGCAGACAATTCCTTCCTTTAAAATAATGCTTGATGAATTGTTGTCTCTCAGATTAAAAGCACCAAGAGTTGTCACTACCATTGCCTTTTTCCACACAGGCATTGAAAAGTACAAAAGCAGTGCCACACCAGAGAGTGTAAAGTAGGCTGATGCTTCTTTTAGGCTTTCCCAGAATGGAGTAAGCTCTAACCTTCCACTCCCTCCTTCTTGCTGATCATGTAGTTGCCCCATTCTGGCAGCAGATGCAACAGGCAGTAGCCAGGCACTTGCAGGGAGCATCATGACTAGTGAGGATCAGCAGTGCTGACATGTGAATGAACCATCCCCTTCCCCTTTGCTATTCAGGGCGTGAAAAGTGTAAAGGTAGAGGAGTCCACCTGGGCAGTAGATCTGGCTAAATTGGACTGATCCAGCTATCCAGAGAGCTACAAAGTCCACAGATATTCCAGAGTTTTTTTTCTAAACTCAGGCATATCCTCTGGTTTTTCCTAAAGCAGAGCAAAATTCTGTTAAGAGTAAAAAAGACTGGGATACTCATTGGAAGTCTCCATGTGTCATCTTCTGTAGCTCACCAGTGTTGGTAAAGTCCAAGGTTTTGTGTTTATGTAGACACGCTTCTAAATAGGCATTGGAAAACAGATGAGTGATCACATTCAGAGAAAAGTGTCGTTTCCTTTGCATGGGCAACAGTGAAAAGTGGAGCACAACTTTGTAAGGCAGGCTAGTTTCTAACATAATGAGTGCTCTGATCATGAAGGCCTTTCCTGATTAAGTGGAGATTTGAACCCTTCTTTCCATTCTGCAGCACTTTGTGTAATACCCCTATGTTTCGCTAGTAAGAAGTTGTTTTACTAAGAAACTATTTAAGGTGTAACATGTAAATCATTACACAGCCTGGAGGCAGGAATTCAGCTAAAGAGAGAACTGGCAAATTTTCCTTTTTTCTTGCAATTTAACCAGGGATAATGAATTAATCCATTAAAAAAGAAAACAAAATCAGGCATGGCAAGATGAATTTTCAGAAATAAAGGCCATTATTTTCCAAAATGCTGGACATGTTATCTCTTTCATTACTCTTTCATATATGTTTCATAAATTGTCCAGTATTATCATAGGATAGTGGAACTGTTGCTATCTCAGTACAGTTGGCATTGATTTCCTGTCCTGGAAAATCCTCAGTTAATAAAATACTGAAAATCTGGTTAATATTTATTTTATTCCATTGATTTTTAAATGTTATTTATTATCAAATCATCTTCAACTCATGGTGACAATTTGAGTGAGATATCTCCAAGAGCACTAGGCACTTTTACCCTTCATGTCTTGTAAACTCAAGGCTGTAGCTTCCTTCACTGAATTAGTGTACCTGCAGTCCAAGGTCCCTCTTTTCCTACTGTCTCCCAATTTGCCTATTTATCATTTTTTTTCCTAATGAGTCACAATGCCCCATGATATATTCAAAGTATGATATTCTTAGTTTACTCATTGTCACTTCCAGTAAGAGCTCAAGTTTAATTTGCTCAAAGACCCACTTCAACTTACATTCTGCTTAAGTATTTGGAAATTAAACAATGCAGTTTAATGCTATTCAGTGTCTGAGGAAGAATGTGTTCATCAATTGAATTATGCTTTCATCATATCTTGGAAATGTGGAAATGCTAACCACAATATATTGCATGACACTCATTATTAGATCCTCTGGATTTGTTTGATTGTTAGTAAACAACTTATTTAGGGAGGTTTGTCCGCACACAGCTCTGCACAATATTATGGACAACTTGTCCAAAGATAATTGTAGACTGTTAGATACTTATGTGCGACATTATAAATGTATTTATTTTAAAGAAAAACAATGAACTTATAATTAAATGTACTTTTTTTCCAGTGCTCTCATAATTGTTTCTCAGGATTCTGTTTGCATTGTTTCTTACCTCTACTATATTAGCTGTAAGAAACAATGCAAACAGAATCCTGAGAAACAACTACGAGAGCACTGGAAAAAAACCTATATTAGACCCCCCCCCCCCGGTGATGCTGTGGGTTAAACCCTTGTGCCGGTAGGACTGCTGAATGATAGGTCACTGGTTCGAATCCAGGGAGAGCAGGTCAAGGTCCCTCTGTCAGCTCCAGCTCCCCATGCAGGGATATAAGAGAAGCTTCCCACAAGAATGTTAAAACATCAAACATCCGGGCATCTCCTGCGCAACATCCTTGCAGACGGTCAATTCTCTCACACCAGAAGTGACTTGTAATTTCTCAAGTTGCACCTGACAAATAAAAGCTACCATATTTTGAATTGATTATGTAAGTTTGTCTCCAATCGCCTGGACCATCCATTCTAAAAAAGCAGCTGTTTTATTGTATATTGTTGAAAACTTGAATAAAAAATTATATAAAAAAATAAATAAAAAAGCAGCTGAAGTGGTTATTTCATATCCACTGCAAATGCCATTGCCATGTAATTGCCCTTTCTTCGTTTTTTCAATCCCTTGGCTTGAGATAAGCTTTTGTATCTTTTTACAATAAGGTCACTTACTGAAGAACACAAATGTTCATTTAAGGTATAATGTGGTTTGGCTGAGTGCTATAAAGATTTGAGTAGTAAAGTTTCACACAATTGCAAGACACATAAATGTAGTAGGAGGGGAACTCACTCCAGGCTTTTAAAATTGCTTAGCTTTTAACTCAGAGAAATTTACAGCTGTTGTTTCCTTGGCCATTTGATAAGAGAGAATGAAGAGAGTACAAAGGTGCTATATATTTCTACCAGTGCTGCAAAGATATACATGCTTTGCAGCTTTGAATGTAAAAAAAAATCCATGAAATGAAATCAGGATTTAAAAACTTTGCTTGCTGTGCTTTTAAATACCTAAGTTGAAGTACAGAGTGTCCTCTAACCCTAGAACTTAGTCAGAAAATGATATTGTTTGATATTTCAGGACTGATAAAAGAACATAATAGAGATGAATTTTTGGAATTCCCTGCTACAATGTGTGGCTACAGCTATTAACTTAAATCACTTTTAAAAGGGCCAGTTTTTCCTAACTGCTATGGTGGAGAGGGATGGTGGGAGCTGAAGTCCAAATGCAAATTTTGGTCCAAATGAAGAGAAAATGGATGAAAATTATTTATAGAGAAGACAATAGTTACCGATAAACTATTGCCTTTCATAGCTATAGAAAATTCTCATAATCAGGAGCCATGTAGTGTATCTTGGTATATCACATTCTATGGATAAACAAGAGGGTAGAGATCTTGCTGTTATCACCTGTTTGAAAGCTTCCCATTGAAAGGATGATGATAAACTTAAGAGACCTGGGCTCCGCAAAACCTTTACTTTCTACTTCATTCATCACAGAGAGTAGTATTTTACATTCTGGTTTAAATTTGGTTAAACAATATTTGACATGTTTCACTGCAGTCTTCACCTCAGCCAGAAGACATGCCTGACAACTTGAAATTCATTTACATCAGAATTCCTAGAAATGCTGTCTGATTATATTTTCCAGAACATTATCAGCTGTATGTTCCTGAGTCAGCGCAAGTTGGTTCCGCAGTAGGCAAAATCAAGGCCAATGATGCAGACACTGGGTCAAATGCGGATATGAAATATTCAGTTATAAATGGAGATGGCTCTGGAGTGTTTACAATATCAACTGACAAAGAAACACGGGAAGGAATTATTTCATTGAAGAAGGTAAGGAAAAACTTTGCAAGATGTTCCTGTGTGAAAAACTGAAAGCACCTTGGGCTGCATATTTCAGGACAGCCAGGACTGAACTAGACCTGGCAGCAGTTGTTCCATGAGCTTAGTTCTAGGATCTTGCTCCCACCAAATAGGAGGTTCTTGAGCAAGATTATGCTTAGACATCTCACTACACAAAGTACAAGCTGATTGCCTTCTTTCTATGTACTAGCCTCAGACCTGGCTATAAACTAGATTAAGGAGAAAAAGCACAGAATATATGAGGTGTTCTCCATTACATCAACATGAATCTCCATAGTAGATGTAAATAATTATCCACATATTTTTCTTTCTTTCTTCCTTCTTCAGGAGGGAGTCAATGAGGTCCTTACCTTTTTTAAAAGGCCATATACTTTGTTCAATTGATTTCCTTAATTACATTTTTACATTGCAACTTGGGTGTTTTGCATAAAGCCCCAATATTGTTGCATGGAAAACAGGCAACTTTGTAAGGAAAATTTTGTTTTCTATGGATCATCATTTGCATTTCTCCCTACAAAATATTATTCTAAATGTACCCGTTTTTACAAAAAGTCCTAAAATGAGGGAAAAACCAATATCAAAACTGAAAATGCATGAAAACAAACATAACATCATCCAAGGGAAAATAAAAACGAAAACATGTTGCTGCTGCATGCAAAAGTGAGATAAATTAAGATTGGTATTTCTATTCAATGCCCGGACATCTGCCTGAGGCCCCCTCCTCATCATCATATGCTAAGATCCTGTAAAAATAGTCTCTAGGAGAAAAATACCTGGGGAAGGAGATGCTGGAAAATGAGTTATGAGCTAAAGAAGATGCTGACATGGACTTCTTCTTCTTCTTTTTTTTTTTAAAAAGATAAACCCATTTTTCTGCCTGACTATGGTAGTTCCATAAAACTGTCCATAAGTACATTTAACTGGCAGCAAGTTCACTGAATTTAATGTGACCTCTGAACAATATATATATATATATTTCACTGGGCCATTAGGTCATCTTCAAGTATTACCTTTGGTTGCCACAGAAACAACATTTTAATGCATAGATATTCCTCCATAGGAAATAGGTTCATTTCATTAAAAATACCAGCAAATCTAATCAAATTTCTTAAGTACACAGAAACACTTCCATACACACTTGCTTGTAATTGCCTGAACCACAAAGGAGATGATGTGATCTTCCTTCCTGTAAGGAAACCCATACAATTTTCTGTTACTGTAGCTAACATCTCTGAGCAGACTGGAAAACACATACACAGAATATTCCCTGTGGTAATTTGTATGAAAATGTTAAGTTTGCATGAGAATTTCAAAGCCCTAATATCTGAAGATAAATATTATATGAAACTTCGTTTTCTAAATGATAGTGCTTTCCTATTTATAAATACTCTCAACTCTATTGAAGGATATTTATCTTCCATGGTTATGTAAGTTTTCTCTTGAGCAATCGCCTCTGTGTATGAGAGATCTGTACATTTGTCATCTGAAAATTATTGTCTATTATATCTGTTTTACATAATGTGTTAGATAAGCATTTAAAATTAATAATGAATAACTCTTATTCTTTGTACATACAATTTAAGGGGTGACAGAAAATATCTAGATAAAACAAACTCACAAAGCAATCTGTAAAAAAATGATTCTAGGTAAGCTGCAATTCCACAGGTTAGAATTTCTGGAAAGTGGAAATAATCATTTCCCACAAGCTCTACATGGAAGTTATATCGTGTATTCTCAGTCCTAAATACACAAACTTAGTGAGAGCCAGTTTTCACACTTGTGATTCTGAAAATTTTACAGATATTACAAATTTAGGCATGCTCATAAAGTGTGTGAGATAAAGGATCCTTCCACATAGCCATATAACATAGAATATCAAGGCAGAAAATCTTAGTCCACACTAGCATGCATTCCAGTTTAAAGCAGAAAATGTGGGATTTTATTCAGCTGTGTGAAAAGGACCAAAGTTTAATGTGTGGTAGAGTTATAAATTATAGAGGTATATCTTCCCAGCTCAGCTCTTCTTTCAGGGAGACTTATAGGTCATGCACATATGTTTCATGCAGGGTGTTACATCAAATGTATGAGTGAGTGAGCATGAAAATCCAATGTTTTATGGGATTTTCATAATAGTGAACATGATATCTAACTTATTTATATACCTCTGGCCAAAATACCAGCTTGGATGCTTTCCCCATTTTAAGATGAAAGGAGGAAAGTGCTCTAAACACTTTAATCTTTATTTGTTGAAGTTATATTTATTTATTTATTTATTTATTTATTTATTTATTATTCGAGTTCATATTTATTTATTTATTATTATTTATTTGCTTTATTTCTATACCGCATTTTTCAGCCCTTAACAGGCGACTCAATGCGGTTTACATGGTACAATTATCAAACAGTGTCAGTGCAATTAAAACATAACAATGCAACAAACAGGATCAACAGCATCAATCCACAACAGTTAACAATCAACAAGACAGATCAACAAAACAGACATAACATAACGCCTCAGTTGAAATCAGATCCGTTCTCATAATCCTTGTGCCATTCCTATGTTCCATTTACCGTCTTCCTATGATTGGTTGCACTGCTTAACCAAACGCTTGTTCATAAAGCCAGGTCTTAACCATTCTCCGAAACGTCAGCAGCGAAGGTGCCTGTCTGATGTCTGCCGGTAGGGCATTCCCCTGGGGCTCAGAGCGGCTTACAAGAATGGCTAAAATCTAACACAATTTAAAAGCAATTTAAAACATGGGGTCATGTAAAACATAAACTTCAGAATGAATTGCCTAAAACAGGTCTTTTAAAAATCTTTTGCCAACAGATCTTAAATGTTTGGTTGTTGCCTCTAGTATTAACAGTGAAGATGGAATTCTGTTATGCCATGCAAAAGTGGAAAAATGCTTGAAACCCGTGATAACCACAGATAGGAATTTTGGATCAGTTTTAAAAAGTCATATATAATTTATAATTTATTTTTCACAGTTAAAGCAATGTAAAATTCATTAAAAGACTGCCATCATCATCATCATGAGTGATCATTCATGGTAGAGTATTATTGTCTTCCAGAGTCTTGATGGTGGATCCATGAATGATTTCTGGATCCACATGGTCTTTCACAGTAGAGACATAGATATTCAGATGGAAGGTGGTCAATAACAACTAACAAAACAGCACAGCAATCCATTAAATGCCCACTGCTGTCAACAAAAGAATAAGACTGCTTTTACTTTCCAAGTGAAGGAAAGCGATGAGAGAGCCATCCCAGTCTCCCTAGGAAGGGAATTACAAAGCCTGGGAGAAGCCACCAATGGATCCTGAAAAAGTTGGAGGTCAGAGAGAAGATTTTAGAACTCAAATAGACCCATAAAAGGTTATGTAGTCCTTCAAATGGTCAAGCTGTACAGGACTTTAAAGGTAATCACAAAAGTTTTCAGTTATGCTTGGAAATGGATTTGCAAACAGTGAAACTGTTGCAGCAAGGTAACAAAGTTTTCCCTTTCGCCCCAGGTAACAATTCAGCTGCAGTTCTTTGAACAAATTGAATTTCCAAGCACTTTTCCAAGGCAGACATGAGCAGACCACATTATAGTACTCAAAATTAGATGTAATCAAGACACTTGTTGGTCTCATAAGATCAGAGTTATCCAGAAGGAGGCACAGACTCATGGAGTTGGAAGAGTCCACAAGAGCCATCCAGTCCAATCCCCTGATATGCAGGAAAATACAATCAAAGAACCCCTGAGAAATGGCTATCCAGCCTCTGCTTAAAAACCCCTGCAGTTAATACAATAGCTTTGACCATGCAAATGCATTCTGCTGAAACCTGAGCTTCCAGGCTCAAGGCTGAATCAAGTAATGTGCACCCACTATGAATCTTTATCTTCAGGGAGAGTGTAACCCATCTATCACAGTGGGGTAAGTGATACACAAACACAATCCTTTATTCTAACCATCTATGTACAAATAAACTGTAAACTTAAGAGATAAAGCACCAGCTCAGAAAGATAGAATCCAGTTGTAACTTTACTCCCTTACCCAGGTCTTACCTACTGCTGCACAGAGAAGTTTGATAAGCAAAGCTGGGTGAGATTAACATACATGTCCAGTGTCATTCTACCAGGTCTCTGTAATACATGCCAGGTTAGCATGTTCATCCAAGATCAAATCTTGAATAGGAGCTGTTTGGTCATTGACTGACCTGACATTTAGCAGCAGCATTTTCATCATGGTTCATTTATGCTCCCTGAATTAGGAGGCATTTTGGGAACAATTAGCACCCTGTTATAAGCTCTACCCTCCCACCCCAAATACCCTATTTACATTTTTAAGAACTTAAGGAGAAGGAGGATCAGATAAATGTAACCCGTTCATCTAACAGAAACAACAAATATATGATAATGCAAATCTAGGAGGTATTTAAAAATGAGAGATGGTCTCTCTCTCTCTCTCTCTCTCTCCCACACACCCACACCACACTACACTTGTATCTTTTTGGCCAAAAAGCATACACTACTAGTGTATTTACCTGGTATTGTTCGGTGTCATATATACTACATACTTACTTACTTTGACTTTCATAAAAAAATAGAAGATGGAATAAGGTAAGTGGGTGATGGCAGAAGGCTATGAATGCCTATTATGAAGAATGTCCCTAAGCAAATGTCCTCACAGACAGAAAACCTCTATCACAAAAAAAGTGTATGATGGTGCTGGAATAATGTTACATTTTGAATAAGATAAAAACAAGTAAACCTAGCTCAGCATGTTGTGTGTGCAGAATTTCACATAGGAAGTAAGATATCTGCACTGAATAGGTCCATTATTTATTTATATGGCTTGAACAATGTTTTCTTCTGTAGAAGTCCAGGGTGGTTAACAGTGTGCCTATACACACATATGGGAAGAGGTGCCCAAATGCAACAAACACTACTATGAACACTCCCTCTTGATGCTTTCATCAT